CGAGTGTGCCCGCACATCCATCTCAACATCCTCATTTCTGCTACTTTCATCTTCTGGATATGTAAAATCTTGACTTGCCAACACTCAGCCCAATACAACATGGCCAGTCTAACCACCGCTCTGTAGAACTTACCTTTAAGTTTTGGTGGTACATTCTTGTCGCATAGGATTCCAGACGCTAACCTCCATTTCATCCACCCCACCCTAATACGGTACGTGACATCCTCGTCGATCTCCCCATCTCCCTGGATAATAGACCCTAGGTACTTGAAACTCTCTCTTTTAGGGACGACTTGTGAGTCAAGCCTCACTTCCACATCCGCTTCCCCCGAAACGTCGCTAAACTTACACTCCAAATATTCCGTCTTGGTCCTATTCAACTTGAAACCTTTAGACTCCAGGGCCTGCCTCCATTCCTCCAGTCTCACGTAAACACCGGCTCGCGTCTCATCAATCAGAACTATATCAAAAATAAGGAGCTATCTAATCATCTGTAAATGTACCATTAGTATATATGAAGTATTAATTAATGCAAAAATGGCTAACTGGTAAAAGTCATCTTTTCATTACCATTAAGCTTGATTTTTTTATTATGTTACAACAAAAACTTCAAGTCACATTCTTGTATTTGCATTTATATTCAAAGTCTTTCTAGATGCTTCTGTGCAATCAGTTGCTCTTCTATTTGCTTTTATGTGTTAATGCTTGATCTATAAGTGTTTTTACCTATAAAAAGGATTTAACTAAACCACAACTCAATTAGAGATCCATACCAGTTAGACAGAGAAAACGATGGAAGTATGTAAAGAGTACCTTTCTTTGCTTGTTTGCAACGAAAAATTTAGTTAAGTTCAGACTTCAGAGGCATCTCCACTGTGTAATTAAAAATTAGTTTCTCATTTCAATTAGAATCAAGTTACTTTGACCATAGTTGAGACATAAAGGTAGTTGAATTTTCTGACCAAGTTTGTTCCTTAATGAATTTGAAATATTTTTATATTCTGAATATTTCATCAGATTGATACTACTACTCCTTTTCAGTGATATTGTTGTGTTAAGTGCTTGATCATGCACAAGAATGAAAATATTTTGTCAGCTAAAACCTTTTTGGTAATCTCACAGTTATGCAAAATAACACGAACCACGGTATCGAACATTACAGCACGGGCACAACCCATCTAATGGTATTAAATTACATACCATTTAAATAACTTGATCCAACTTGTAATCGCTCCTAATGTATCATATGGGTATCTCTTGCAATTTCACGCGTGAAATTGCAACGGGTCAATTGGTTTTTTGGCTTTTTATAAACTTGTTTTTAGTTTTATGACCCTACCTCTTTTTTTTACACATGGAAGATTTACTTTTACACACAGGAGATCTTTCTTTTACACGTAAGAGATCTAAAAAGACATTTTCTTAAATTCAACATTGTAAAAGGTCTTGTAGGCTTAAAACCTCTTATAATATAGGCGACCATCACATTATAGCATAGGGGATCATTGAAAATAAAGTTAAACAACATTGACAATTTTAATCCTAAACAATAACATCAACTTTCTTGATCCAAAGTAATAATAAAATATTATAAACGTCAATAAACTTACATATGAAATTTTAAACTGCAATTAATTACCACTTAAAGTAACTAACATCACACAAAAAAGGAAAAAAACTTATGCATTATAATTTGTAGCCCAACATTTTGTAATTTCACACATTTGTGTATCAATCGAACATCTTAATCTCAAAATTCAAAGAGTATTATCGTTACACACATAACTCAAATGGTTAATTATGACTCATGAGGACGAGCTTACTCGATCAAATGGATATCCAATAGATAAATTATGTTTTGTGAAGCACGAATCTTGTATGCTCTTCAGTTGTAAAATCTCCTGAAGTAACAATCAAATGTAGAGATTAATTCAGGGCTAAGGGTTTGCTAATTTATGGTAGGCTTCGTCAAATTTGAGTTGGAATAAACCCTAACTTAGAAATTTTACTGAGAGAAAAAGGGAACCTATTATTAGGTGTTATTATTTGTGACATGGTAATAATTTATGTGATAATAACACTTTTTGTCCCTTAATTATTGCCAAATTGTGACTTCGATCTTTGTTGTACATGAATTAGTACATTTAACCTTCAACTAATTAAAATATGTATTTTTGTCCTTTTATATAGGAAATTTAATATAATTGAGTATTTTCTGGAACTATACAATCCTCAAATACGGATTATCGATAAAATCTTAACCTACTACATGAGTACTAAACTGGTAGAACGGTTAATAAATCAATAAATTTGTAAATATTCACAAGCAAAGGAATAAAAAGTGCACAAATAAATTAATTAAAGATTAAATATACTTGGTCAAATATTACAAGCACAAAAGTCACTAGTTAACCGAGGGACCAAAAGTATTTTTTTTATTTTTGGGGTAAATGACTAGAAGTATTATTAATTAACATTTAACACCATGTCGTGACTGTGTTTCCTATTTATGTTACCCTATACTTGTTTTTTTAAAGAGGTCTCCGTCATCTGCTAAATTAAGAAGACAATTCGCCGCTCTCGCGATTTATAACGCATTCCAGATTGCGACTTATATGTCGCATTCAAATTGAGTCCCATTACATGTATAAGTCGCATTCAAATTGAATTTTACGTTTTCCCCAAATCTACAGCTAATACTTCGTCCGTTAACTACCTAACGTCAACAATCCAAACTCCGCCGTTCTTCCCTTCATAGTAGTGAGCTAGAGCAATGGCTACGCCTCCAATTAAAGCGATTCTCTGTATGCAATTGCTAGCTATATTTATCGTAGCATTTTGTCTTATACGAATCAACTGTAGTTGGGTTGCAGAAGAAGGATTACTACGAAAGCGAAGCGGAGTACATCAGAGACAGTTCGATTACTTCAAACTCTCTCTCCTTTGGCCAGCCACCGCTTGCCGCAATACAACTCGCTGCTGTTCCTCCAATGCCTGTTGCCGGTAAATCATAGGACTGTATTCCGTTTACAGATAGTAACGCATAGTTAATTGACCGATTGATTTCTTTCACTTTGCCTTCGATTTTTTTCTCAGGTTGTAATTGTATTATATCTAACGAATTTTAGTAAATTAATAAGCTAATTGTGCGTTTTGTAAGAATATTTGATAAGGATTTAAGTTATATATAAAATGACAGTGTAGATATTCTTTTACACTTTCAATTAGTGATAGCATGTTAGTTACTTACCATTTTTACCAGATTACCTTTAATTATTTATCTGAGATTTACCTTTAATTAGTTAATAGGTGCAATCATTTTGTTCACCATCAGTGCGTTGAACTTAAACTCATTTGATAATATTTAAAGAATGAGGCTTACCTTTTCTTTTCTTTTTTTTATTTTTGTATTTTTTCAGCTCGAACTTGCCATCCGAATTCACAATTCGTAAGTCGTGCTCTGATTGGAAAGGATGCATATTTATGTTTTTCCTTGTTGTGTATTGTGAGAGCTGGATATATATGAATAAGGTTTATTGTACTGCAGATGGACTTTGGGCTGATTACAATGATGGAACTTGGCCTGCTTGCTGTTCTGGTCCCCAATTTGATAAGAAAGAGGTAGATTGCTAGCCTTTTTTCTGCGCACCACCCTTTTATTCTGCGAGGACTGTTTGAAGAGAGAAATAATTGGTGGAACTGTTAACTGCTTAGATAAAGATCTGTTTGAAGAGAGAAATAATTGGTGGAACTGTTAATGTTTACTCCATTGATCTAATTAGAATATTGAGAATTCAGCATTGAGACTGAATAAAGAAGCTTATACTTCTTCAGCTTTAATGGTGTATCCCTTTTCTACTGCCTATTCATCTATAAATATTCATCAATACTGACTCTGAAATAATTTATGTTATGAGCTTTATATATCCATTCATTCTGTAGATTTCAACATTGCTCAAACCCTTGAGGAAGTACTGGCCTTCTTTTAGTTGCGAGGCCGTCTCAAATTGCCATCATGGAAAAGGAACATTTTGGGCTCATGAGGTGGTTTTCATTGTTACTCGTACTATATGATTGGTAAAGAATTCAATACAATTCAAGGAACTAACATGTCCTCTCGTTTATTGTATCTGACCCTGGGGATATTCATTTTCAGTGGGGTAATCACTCTTTGCCTTATTTTATATTCAGTTTATAATACCTCGCAAGACAATTGATGGTTTTGAGCTATTATATAAGTTTGATTAAAAAGAGAAGCAAGATTCTTTACTTACCAGAAGGATTTACAAAATAGAAAAGACCTTATTGCTGACATCTCTGAACAATATAGGTTCCTTCTTTTCCTGGATATTAATTACCTT